TGTCTTAAGATTGGATAGTTGAGTGCACCTGTAGTCACATGTGTCACACGTGTAGGGTTTCTCTCCTGTGTGAGTTCGCTTGTGTGTCTTAAGATTGGATAGTTGAGTGCACCTGTAGTCACATGTGTCACACGTGTAGGGTTTCTCTCCTGTGTGAGTTCGCTTGTGTGTCTTAAGATTGGATAGTTGAGTGCACCTGTAGTCACATGTGTCACACGTGTAGGGTTTCTCTCCTGTGTGAGTTCGCTTGTGTGTCTTAAGATTGGATAGTTGAGTGCACCTGTAGTCACATGTGTCACACGTGTAGGGTTTCTCTCCTGTGTGAGTTCGCTTGTGTGTCTTAAGATTGGATAGTTGAGTGCACCTGTAGTCACATGTGTCACATGCATAGGGTTTCTCCCCCGCGTGAGAGCGCATGTGTGTCTTAAGATTGGATAGTTGAGTGCACCTGTAGTCACATGTGTCACACTTGTAGGGTTTCTCTCCTGTGTGAGTTCGCTTGTGTGCCTGGAGAGCAGGGGATGACGTACATTTGTACTCACATATGTCGCATGCATAAGGCTTTTCGCCAGAGTGAGTTAGAAAGTGCACCTTCAGATGACTCACGTGAGAACATGAATATGAACAAATGTCACACTCGTAGGGTTTCTCTCCTGTATGGGTGCGTTTGTGTCGCTTGAGTTTAGCCACTTCAGAGCATCTGTAGTCACACGTATCACACGCATAGGGCTTCTCTCCTGTGTGAGTTCGCTTGTGTCTCTGGAGACTAGAGGATGATGTACATTTGTACTCACATGTGTCACATGCATAGGACTTTTCACCTGAGTGAGTTCGAAAGTGCATCTTCAGACTACTCAAGCGAGAACATGAATATAAACAAATGTCACACAAGTAGGGTTTCTCTCCTGTATGGGTGCGTTTGTGTCGCTTGAGTTTAGCCACTTCAGAGCATCTGTAGTCACACGTATCACATGCATAGGGCTTCTCTCCTGTGTGAGTTCGAAAGTGCACTTTCATACAACTTAATTTAGAACATGAATATAAACAAATATCACACACATGAGGTTTCTCTCCTGTGTGAGTTCGCATGTGTGCCTTAAGACTGTTTAGTTGACGGCACCTGTAACTGCATATGTCACACATGTAGGGTTTCTCTCCATGTGTGCGCATGTGACTCTTGAGATTATCAGAGGTAGTGCTGGCATGTGAGCAAACATCACCCGCATAGGGTTTCTCTTCTGTGTGAATGAGCATGTGGGTCTGCAGATGCTTCTCTATAACGAATCTGTGTCCACACGTATCACACGCGTATGGCTTCTCTCCTCCTGCAGGCGGCAAATCTAACTGGGAAGACTCCATCACACAGGTGGGAAGCTAAGCAGTTTCTTCCCCCGCGCAGGTTCTCCCGTCTGTCGCTTAACTTCCTGTGGGGAAAAAAGATCAACATCAATCATCAACTTCCTTCAGCTTCAGACATTCTTACTGTGAACACGGTTGTCTATATCAATACGATGGAAATTTGCAATGATTTTGACCATCTTCTCCGAATTTTAGTTCATTAATCCACATAACAACACCGACATCAACTGCACACCTATGCAACCTGACGTTTCCCACAAGTATTATGGTGATAATCCTCATATCTCAGTCATTGGGCGCCGTGACACCTATGTCCTATTGGAGCCCCGCTGGCACTGATGGGGGTTTGGGGGAAAATATTGCCTTGAATTTCGTTTAGGGATATGTTATAAAACTAGAAATGGCAGTTGTCGCCAACTACATGTATCCCCCGCGATCTAGTATGAATGAAATATCTCCGTAAGGACGTACAAGGTAGGTAAAGTGAAATAAGTTACAAAGACAAAGGTTTGTTACACAGCTCATCTGCCTCAGATGTGTACGTATACCAAGTCTGGTTGCGCTAGGTTAATTAGGAGCCGAGTTATCAAGCGGAAAAGAAATATGATCAATTTCAAGGTTAAGGTCAAATAAAGGTCGCAGTGACCTGGTTTTAGTACGCGACACACCTTCTCCACAACATGTGTAAGTATACCAAGTTTGGTCATGCTAGGCCAATTAAGGGTCGAGTTATAGAGCAGAAGGGAAAGTGTCTGAGGCAGCGGCGGCTGGACAGACATGAAACCATAGTATCCCTGCCGACTTCGTCACGAGGGATACAGTAACGCACTTTCATGGATTCTAGGTGCCAATAAACTGCTACAGAACATTTTATTTCATACGTGATCTTGTAAATACGAAAACAAAATATGTCATAGTTCAATTAGTGTTTTGAAACAGGTGTACGATTAACATGTAACATTTTTTTAAATAAAGGTCGTTAAAATTATCGCCCATCAACATTTATATGTCCAAGTAGGATGTTATTATTTTCATTCATATTGGAAAAAAATGCAAACTCATCTTGTGTGGACTTATATTTCTCTTAATATTTTTATTGAGCAGTAAAGTATATACATGTATACATGTATATTATACATATATTAATATACATATATATAGAATATTACACAGATATTATATAATTTTGAACCCAATAATCTACAATTGCACAATTCACATGCTAGATGAATATAGGTTGCACAATATCTGCATGTGAATTCTACCCAACACAAGAGTAGGGGCACCCAACACCCTAGCCCGCCTAGGATCAAGGCCTCCCTCTGCATGTTTGAATGATTGAGCCAAGACTTGAGCCGCCTAAGTTATCTTTTAGACACCAACGAAAATCTATAACCACTGTTTCATTTATCATATTATTATTATGTGCTTAGTAAGGCATAAACACGTCATAGATATGGGAAAAGATTGTGGACGAAAATATTTTACGAAACAACGCGGTAATTGGATGATTTCATTATCCAATCGTAATTTAGTGAGCAGCAAAATTATTTGCCAATTGTATTCGCCACTTAGTGTAATAAAACTGCCACAGGCATTTATTCATCACATTCTGTGAAGTTGGAGAATGCCAGCGGTAGCCCAGAGGCTCTATCACTGTAAAAGAACAACCTTCTCGATGATCAAATCAGCTTTATTGTCAACAATGTAGAAACCATTCTGCAACAGAATGAGAACAGTGATATTGCAATGCATTTAAACCGAACATAACATAACTAACGAAACGTAAACACTGACTCTTACAAGAACTCCTTAAGGCGTGGTAGTTGGTTAAACGAGTTCATTCTAAGCGCTAAAGCGGCGCTTGGTTCTACACTATATATATATCCACAAGCGAAGTCCCCGGTCAGTGGTGCAACTTCGATAGAAAGAGTCCTGGGAACGAAGATGGTCAACAGTCAACTCTGCAGACTGTTTCACATTATAGGAACCTGCCACTATTTTATGGAAAAACCTGTGTAGCTTTAAAAAACCAAGAATTTCATAATTAAAATGTTCTTATTATCACATTTGACCTAACTTGTTACATGCTGCAAGTGTACTCTCACACATGGCACACATCTCAACTGGTATTTTCCCCGGTATTCATGTTATAATTCGACAATTTCAAATGCAGGTACGTTTTTTAAATTTGGCAAACGCGATACTTGCATTACTGCACATATGCGAGAGCTAAAGCCTCATCTACACGGAGTCACCTTAACCCGAGTTAAGCTAACCCGAGTTAACACTTAACCCGAGTTCAGAAACATGCATCGTCTACACGGAGTTTGTCTTAACCTGAGTTAAGCTAACGGCAACTAGTGGGAGACGGGGTTTACTGCGGTATGCAAGTATACGCATGTAATGAGTAACTTAATTGTACCTCATCTTTTTCCCAGTTATTTCTTTCTGCCGTGATCCGTATATTATAGAAAATATCGCAAAAAGTTACAAATATTCAAATCTGTGAATCTTGAAAAGTCGTAGAAAGGAAGTAACCTGGATGTCAACATTGCATGTGTCGCCGCCTATTCAGTCTACTGATAACTACCACTTAGCTCGAGTTAATGATTTCACGCGAGTCTACATGAGTCTTAACGTAGTTAGCTTAACCCCACTCATCACGTAGGGTTAAGCTAACCCGAATTAAGGCTTAACCGAAAACTTACAGAATTACTCTCATACCTATTCAATTCCTTCATTTTTAGTTAGTTGCAAACTGAGGCTTTTTCTACTGCGATTCGCAGTGTTGATCTGTTAATTTGCTCACCTTTATTTCTTTCCATCTTCAATAGTCCATTTCGAACTTTTAGGACTAATATTTACAAGGTTACTAACATAGGTATGACTATTCCTCTTTGATATCTATACTACATTAAATCTATGACTACAAGGATCTGTTGCTGCTGTTGTTAATTGGTAATTTAGTATATAAATTTAGATGTACCCCTTTTCCTGTTTTTGGCCAACATTATTGTGTAAACCTCATGAATAATTATAATAATCTTCAAAAGTCCAAGAGACTATAATGAAGACGGAATGAGACAAAGTTGATCAAATAGGTTTATCAACACTGCACTGGCAGTAGAAAAAGCCTCAACTTTGCAATAAACTATGTACAGCGGAAGGGAGAGAATTCCAATACGGAATGACAGAAACAAAGCGTAACTTAAAGTGATCCTTTGAAGATGGCACGTGTCGAAAGCAATGAATGATCAGGCTCAGATGATCAAGCTAATGTGACAGTGTTATCCGCTATTGGCTAGTATTGCTAACACATAAAGCGCAATCTATATTGGTTGTACCACAGGGACTTTAAACAGTCACTAAAAACTGAAAATAATATGAATGCACATTCACTAAAACTACCCCTTTATCACACTGCTACTGTTGTGTCACTGTATATCAACATGCTTTTACAAAAACTGATGTAGAACTAGCCGCTCCCACCACTCGCCGTTGCGAGAATGCTGCGTGTGTGCGCAGGGCCGTATCCAGAGGTTGGGCAGAGGGTGGTTACAAAATGGCGATGCGAAGCTTCGCCTCGAGATGCGAAGCGGTGAGTGGGGGGGAGAGTCCGGCCAATTTTTTTGGGGGTTTTTAACATGCTTAGATGCTGTTTCCTGTTTCCACTTCAATTGTTTGTTGAATTCATACAAAATACAGTGTATATCTCCATAACATCAATCAAATAAAATGAGATTTGTAACAAACTCGTCTCTGGTGTTAAGAATTATGACTAATTATCTCCGTGGTGTGATTCATCCAATCTAGATACTAGGATGATGACCCGTGACTCTTTGAAATTATAGTGTTAACTAAAACTGTTACAGTAGTAGAGTGTTTCAGTAGTTTACAACCATCAATGAGTCTTTATCTTAAAAAAGATTATAATTACATTTTAATGATTACACAAACAAGTGCCGCATTAGCGACAGTGCTCATCTGAGGTCTGCTGCTCTACTGTACTGGCCTTCGTTTCTGCAAATGGTTGAAAGCCTGTTCTATCGCTAAACGGCTACGTCATCATCAAAACTGTGTAGCATAGGTATTAACACTAAAAACTAAACCCTAACAATGCATCCTACTTCATACCTGCTCGACTGTCTTATATATTCGTGTCATAATGTATCACTAGGCCTATAGTTGCCGCGAGATGGCTCGTGCAAGTGTAATCAATAATCAAAGATAGCATCCCCCTTCGTGCATTGGTGATAAGTCATGAAAGTAGAGATAACCTAATTCTATTGAGTTGCTGAAATTTACAGGCAAAAATCCAAGTGTATTCAGCAGGCGACAATTTCGCTCAGCTGTGAGTATTAATTAAACACATCTGCATTGCAGGTGTGCATGTTTATTTGAAAAGTGCCAGTTCACCCCCAGGCATGAGTAATGGGATGCCCGGGTTTTTGCCTACATTTCGATGACGGTAGCCACGCGAGCATTCAGGGTGCTATTAATATAGAGACTGCTTTAGAAAATAATATGATTTAAGGAGTGTAAACCTTGTTCAACAAACTTTGTCTTTGCAATTGAACTGCCAATGTAGCCTCACATCCACACAGGTATGGGCTCTAATAATAGCAAAGCAGTTCAGTCCTTTGTTAACAGTCAACAAATCCATGTTTAACCCTCCTCGTGAGGGTCAAAAGTTTATCAGACACTTACTCTTCGCACGTCAGTGGAAAGCATATTTCATGGTTCTTTCAATAAAGTGATAAAAATGGTAGGTCAGTGCTGAACAAAAAAGTTTTTCACTCTGTCCGTTAGGCCATGTCCTCAGAAATGTCTGATATCTGACCTTTCCCCCACTGCTCTTTGACCTGTGACCTACAATTTCGCACTGGTGATGGGTTTCCTGCCCATCACACTATACACCGAATATTAAGAGCATAGGTCGAGCCGTTC